ATATATATATATATATATCATTACAGTACTGTTTCGCTGTATCACATCCTCAGTGCGACTAGACATCCGAATGCCTCAAGCCCAGATGGAAACCCAATCGATTTTGCTGTCAGTCAGAGTTTCCACCACTGAGCTATCTTCATTCGACAGAGAGAAACAGCTAAATCTAGCGTATTGTTTTTTTACGAATGTAAACAAATGCCAATTAGCTGGAGTGTTCCAGTTCATTTTACTGAAGAGGTTTGGATAAACACAGATGGCTGTGGTTTATAGAATTAGCCTATCACTCAACACGTCTCAATTGAAATATATTTTCAAGATGTGTGTGTGTGTGTGTCTGTGTGTGTGCGGTACCAACATATGTTATCCTTCAACAATAGCACTTACAAAAAATGCTACATCTCTTTCTAAATATTTTTGTAATTTAATAGAAACTAATAAAACTCCTAAGGTAAAATGGATTTCTTTAAAAAAACGCGAACATGTAGACCTTTAAATGAACCCTGTTTTCTATGCTTACATGATAAATTAGAAATTATCAGAGTTTCTGATAAAAACTCCTTATTGACCAAGAAGTGAATTTACTGTAAATCATAGACATAGTCTACCTTTCACCTTAGTTTAAAGTTTGAATTTAATAATACTTTTTTCTTATAGTAATAATCAGTAGATGAACTGTGATGCACCTTATATGGCTTACAATTCTATTTGTAAGATTCATTTTGATTTAATATAACTCTATTGATATTTAGTTAGTAGTATTAACAACTTATATGGATGTACAGGTGTTTACTTAGTATTATAAACATCTTGCATTGATTAGTTGGTATTATTAACATCTTAAATGTATGCTCTTTACTTAACAGTTGCATATTAATTTGCGTGAGGCGTTTTGTATTTATAATCTTTTTTTCTCAAATATTTATTAACCAGTTTCTTAGAGGGGCTTTTTTTATTTATGAACTACAAAATTTTTTGTAAGGAGCTGACCGAGCATATAACTAATTAGCATTATGTTAAATTACCTTCCGACCTCTTTCACTTGTACTTCGTGGGAAAGTTGAACGCCAGGCTTCTATCCATCTTATGAAATAATGTAACCATTTGTATCTAGACATAATGAAAATGTATAGGAGTTATGTGCTGACAACTTCGTGTAGGAATATATATGAATTTTTAATTTTTCAGTGAGTTTGAATAAGGTCACATTCGATTAGTTATTCACGGTAAAGCCCACAAGCCTAAATTTTAATTCTGCCTTTTTTTTTTCTCTCGAAAAACGGGGAAGTATTCTGCTTTTGAAATTAAATTAATCGTTCACTCGCCAGTAGTTTACCATCGACCGAGGAGATACATTTGTCGTGCTGAAACGTAATTGCAATTGTGTAGCGATTTTTAACATGTTTTTGTTTTAATATCATATAATAAATAATATTTAGCCCTACTTTGTATTGAGCCCTCTTTTAAAAGAATGTTTTGGAAAGTGGAGTTATACTCCATTTTACCTGTATATATATATATATATATATACACACACGTGTGTACACACATATAAGTTATATATATATATATATATATATATATATATATATATATATATATATATCCAAGTATAGGATTGGTGTATACGGAATAAATTCCAATAACCCAAAAATACTATTCTTAAAAAAGTGCTCAATACAAAGTAGAGCAAATATAACTTATTCGAAAATTATGACATAAATATGTTATAAAATCACTACAAACATAGCCGTTTTGTTTCAACACTTCTGGTGTCTTATCAAATGATGGGTACACGTATATCACGCAAAGAAATTATAACATATATGCAGCAACAAACAGTGAGTAAAAAAAGGGAAATTTAATTGTAATATTTCCCATCAGGAAAAATGAACTTATGACAGTATCTCTGTAAACCTGGTGAGGCCAGGTGTTTTGGGGTTTTATCTCCAAGACCTAACGCTGTTGGCTAGGGATGCCATTCTTGTCCCGGCTCTACATCGCAACTGCCCTTCGTCACTCTATCCCCTGACATTATTCACCGGCTGTCACGTGTCCCTTGTGACTGTTTGAACGAAAGGGAGACAACTGTCATTTGTGTCCTTGCACTATATTTTTAAATACAATTTTTAAAAAAAGAAGATTCCTTAAGACGGTTAATAGACAGCAGTTTTGTTTCGGAAGCATTAACATTAACAAACCACCTCTTGCCCCAGTTAATGCTTTTAAATATCTCTGTTATGGATGTAATAGTGATTTTATTTATTCAATAAAATTTCGAATTGGTTGCGCTGTTGTAAACATTAAATCATGTCTGATCTAAAAGTCAGATGTTAATGGAATAACGATTTTCTCTTCGTGTTTTTGTTATCAATTTAAATTTTGAAATTAGATTGATAACATTCAGTTCAATTATTTGCACAAACTTTGGGGTGATTTATGTTTCGTACTTCCGTTTTAAACATGGATTTGGGTTAATAGTTAATCTAGGAAAGGTCTCCAATTATTTATAACTTATCGTATATGTATATCCATACATATATTTATAATTTAATTTATAACACACAAATATACACACAAACATACATGTACATATATATATATACGCAGA